CTCTGGTCTAGCCAGTCTTGCAAGATAGAATTCGAGTCATGGTAGTGGGAGCAGGGAGGAAACCTTTAGGAGCTAGAGGAAGGTTGTATTTCTCATCATTGTCCCATTGGAATTTAAATGAGCTCAGCTTTAATTATTCAGTCAGAACTGTATAAGCTGAACCAACTAGGTGTTTTGGGTGTGGGTCATTGTTTCTACACTTGATCTTAGCCAAAAGGCCGAGAAGCAATGGGTCATTACTTCTATTAACCATCAGTCCTCGAGATTATTTGTATCCTTGGTCAGTGACAGTAGTCGGATGGACACATACACAGGAGTTTAGTTGTTGCTAATAGAAAATGAATAGTTGGTATAATATCTTGTTTTCATGTTTGGAGTAAATTTCATTAAGCATCTTTCATGCGCAAGGCATTATGTGTGAAACAAAATATGAATCAATTACATCTCCACTGTGTATTGTCACTTGTATTACAGCCATTTATGTGTACATGTACCTATATACATGTTTGTGTGTATACCCGTTTGTACACAAATAAGAGCTTGTTTTCCACACTCAAATGATCTTGCTCTTGTCACTCATGTCATTTCAACGTTGATTGGGTAAACATTCTTACAGATGGCCCTTTCCGACCGACATGGGAAGCCCAGTGCTGTAAAGAGCATTTTATCTTCAAGAGAAATTTACTAACAATGGATTTTCCTCCTCTGCTGCTCAATGCAGCGAACTCGTTTGTGAAAAGCCCTGTGTGGAACTCTTCAGCCCTCATTCGGATTTCTGGTCTCCTCCATCCTGAATGAGGCATGACTCAAGCTGTTTTCCCATTGAACCTCATTTAGTGAGATGTAGTAGTGAAAACTCAGGTCCTGGTGGCCTAGTGGTTATGTATGGAGTTGCGAATGGCGAGGTCAGCAGTTCGAATCCTCCTGTCGCTCTACCAGAGAAAGATGAGGCTTTCTACTCCCATCAAGGGTTACAGTCTCAGAAACCCACAAGGGCAATTCTACCCTGCTCTGCAGAGTCACCGTGAGTCAGAATTGACATGATGGTGTGAGTTTTCTGGAGTGGTGAAAGTAGAAACCCAGTGTGCATTCCTGCCTTCCTGCTTCCACCTTCCAGCTGGAGTCTCTCCCACCAAGTTTGAGGCCTTCACATATGGAAACAGTGGTTTGGAAGGAGTGGATTTGCTTCAGAGCTAGTCCCAGAATCCTGTCTCATATCAAACCCTTGGGAGGCTGGTGCTCAGAAGGCTTGGTGGAGCAGAGTCAGGGATGTTTAGCCCTTTGGGGACCTGTGAAGCCCTCCCCACCTATTCATTCAGTGCTTCTGCTCTCTGGCTTTGCCCAATGAGTAGGTTTTCAGTTCCTCTGTCAGGAATGTTTGCAGACGTGGTAGGCATCACAGATTGATCTGTTTGGAAGCACCCAGACCCTTTCCCACTGAAATCTCTCTAGTCTTTGTCACCTGCCTCCGTCCAACACATTCCACTCCTCACAGATCTGCTCTGGCCACCTGTCCCTGACACGATGTGCTCCCAGTTTGAGTGTCGACCACTTGGCTTACATTTTGCTGCCGCTACCCAGTTCATCTTGTAAATCTTTAAAAAAAAAACGAAGGTCCAGAAAAGCTAATAACAATACTAGTAAAATCTACCGAAGAGGTCAGTGTTTCTTACGAGCTTCTCAATTATTCCTTTTGGCCTCCGCAGAAGGAAGTGATGCATCCCCCACATCTTTTTAAATGTAGTTTAAAGAGCTTTAACAATGCCGGGCTAAGAGAAGGAGTGCTGGCAACAGTGGGTTACACGTCGAGCTGCTGAATACAAGGTCACTGTTGGGCACATCAGAATCCATTGCCAGAAATCCTTTGAGTAAAAAATGCCGTGTGTATTGTCAGTAATATTATTTCTCTCTGATTATTATTTCAAACCTAAAGCCTGTATGGATGCTTGCACACTGACGGTGGTGTTAAGGAATCAGTCACAAAGTTTTCTACACGCACACGCTATTTTTGACAAGTTAAATTTGCTGTCAGAATTTCTTTGAGGAGATACATACTAGGACCCTAACTGCAGTGACGTATTGGTGTTTGTAAGGGCTCGGCGGTGGCTTTTAGGTCTTTATTTGAAGGCTTACCCACTGCACAGAAAACGTCCTTGTGTTGACCATGTCTCAGTCATTTTTCTTTGGAAGTGTTCCCAAGTGTCAGACTTTGTATTGCTCTTTAAATCAGCAAGGCATGAGTCCCACCGAATCCCAGAAGCCTGACAAGGTCCCCCATGCTCTGATTTTGGCTCCAGCCTCATCTCACGCCCTTTGCTTCTGAGCCCTTGCCACAGTCCTCCACGCCGGACTTCGAGGGGAGACCAAGGTTAGGGGAGCGGGCAGGAATTAAGCCCAGCCAAGACAGTTTGCTTCTGCGCCGTGTGTGCCTCTCACACTTGACACCCAGCAAGAGACCCACCCAAACCAGCTGTCTGTTGAACAGTGGCCTGGCCGAGTGTGCAAGGAGACACTCCGGTGGCGAGGTCGGTTACACAGTGGGCTGTTAACCACAAAGCTGGTGGTCCAGACCCCCCACCCAGATGAGAAAGATGAGGCTGTCCATCCCCATAAAGATGTACAGCCTCAGAAATCCTCAGGGGCCATCTCTTCTGCCCCGCAGGTTGCTGGCTTTGGTGCAATGGCCGTGAGGTTGGTCTGGAAGCTAAAAGAGACAGTGGCCTTTCTCATTCACACATGTGGAACCACTCCGACGTCCTGAGAAAGGGATCTCCATCAGCAGTCATTGTGTTTCCCCCTTTCTCTTATAGGCGATCTTTGGCAGCCAGACACTCCCTAACTCCAATTTGTGGACACTGAATAATGGTGCAGGCTGCAGAATTTCAAGTGCCACAGGTAGTGGCCAGAAGCCAATCACGCTGTCACAGAAAGTGGTGCCACCTCCAAGTTCATCCTCCTCCCTGGTCCCTAAACCCCCATCCAATCACAAACAAGTCCTCAGAAAGTCAACGACATCCCAGAGACCTTCCAAGTAAGTCTTCTACCTCCATCTTCTCCGTTTCTTCTGAGTTAGCGCAAGGTCATGTTCGTGGTGCCCTTCATTTGATGAGCCTGCCCCCCAGGTCTGAAGCACTGCAGGCACGACCACCTGATTGGGAATAAAGGGTTCATGCTGGCCTTCAGTCTTTTCTGCAAATCAGCCCCGACCCTGTCTATTCTGCCGTGGGCGAAGGGCGGACACTGCTCCAGTGTTGTTTGGGGCTGTTTAAATGTTTCATTCCGGTGAACTATCCATAAGCATCTTGACTACGTTTCAGTGGACAATTCAGTATCGTTAAGTGCGTGCCTGCGTTGTGCAAACATCACCAGCATATTTCCAAAAGCTTTTCCCACCCAACAGAGATCCTTCCGTCTTGAGGGAGAATCCATTTCTCCCTGCCCCCAGCCGCCAGTAGGCACTGATACACCTTGACTGCATGCATTTGCCTGTTCCGGGTGGGCCGTGTGGGTGGCATCGTGTGGTATTTGTCCTTTTGTGTCTGACATACTGGAACTGCTGACCTCGGTTTAGCAGACAGGCGCTTAACCACGGTGCCACCAGGACTTCTCCCATTGCAGGCACCTAGTGTAATGCTCGCAAGGTTCACTCACGTCGTAACATGCACCGGAACTTTCATTTCGTGGTTGACTGATAGCCTGTTGTTCGTATCTGTACCGCATTTTGTTTCTCCATCCTGGACACTTGGCGCTGTTTGCACCTTCTGACTCTTGGGAATCAGGCTCTGGGAGCGTGGTGTGCTAGTCTCTGCTTAGCCCTGCTCTCCAGTCTCTGGTAATTTGACATCGAACTTGTTGACGACATCACACTATTTTACAGTCCTGCTGCCCGTGGACAAGCATTCTGATTTCTCCTTATCCTCGCCCAGGCTTATTTTTCCTTTTTCTGGTAATAGCCACTCTTGAAGATGAAGTGGCTTTTCCTCGTGGCTTTGGTTTGCATTTCCCTAATAAGTAACAGCATTAACCATCTTGTCCTGTGCTTGGTAGAAATCTGTATATCTCCAGAGATAAATGTCTATCCAACTGAGTTGTCTCTCTCTTCGTTGTTGAATTATAGGAGTACTTCATAGATTCTGGACAGCAAGCTTCGTCAGATGGAGGGTAACAAGGCCTTTCTCCAGACCCGTACATGATCTCTTCATTTTCCCGATTTCATACACAAAAGTTTTACATTTCCAAGAAATCTAATTTATCCATTTTGGGTTTTGCTTCCTTTGTTTTCATTTTTTGTTGTTGCCGTCCTATCTAGGTATTCTTTGTTTAAAAAGAAGAATTTAAAATCAGCCCCTATGTGTTCTTCTAAAAGGAGCACAGGTGGCACTGTGAGTTAGGCATTGGGCTGCTAATTATAAAGTTGGCAGTTCAAACTACCAGCCACTCCTCAGCAGAAAAGTGAGGCTTTCTGCCCCCATCCAGATGTATAGTCTCGGAAGCCTATTCAGGGTTGTTATGAATCTGGCTTCACTGGGTGACAGTGGGTTTGGTTTGATTTGGGAGCTTCCTCAAAGGGTTGGATGGCTTTAGAATTATATTCCAGTCTTTGTTTCGCTTTTATTAATGTTTGACTTAAGGTCTGAGTGCTGCGTCCAACTTGGTTCTTTTCCATGTGGAGGTCCACTCATCCCAGTGCCATGTGTTGGAGAAACGATTCTGCCCCCATTGCCTCTGGTTAGCGCCTTCATCAAACATCACTTGGCAGTCGATGGGGGCGTTTATTTGTGGACTCTTGATTCTCTTCCATTGGCCTGTCTGTCTACGCTTATTCCGGCACCGCATTGTTTCAATTACCATAGCCTTATAATACATTTTAAAACTGGGAAGTGCAAGCCTCCTTATTCTGCCCTTCTTTTTCAAGATGAATTAGAGAACTGGCCTTTCCACTTCAGGAACTGGACTCCCAGGTGCCCCAGTGATTGTAGGGAAAGCTGGAGCCGGGCTTGGTGTGATTATCAGCCAACTCTTTGGGCCTGGGCAAGTGCTGCTGTCAGGGAGAGACACCCAGCCACAGTGCAGGCTCTGGGCGTGGGAGAAGAAAATGAAGCCTGCCCTCCCGCGTGTGGCTTCTTGTGGTCCTCGTACAGAGCTAGAAGGTTCTGATCTTGTCAGGTGTGTATCAAATCAAAGTCCCTCCGGTGTGTGTGTCACTTCCTAGAATTTAAATGAGAAGGTATGAGGTGGAGATTCAAGCTTTAGCTTCATGGAATTTAATCAACAGGTTGTAGGTAGCAACACTGTTTCTAATACATTTTGTAGTGTACACCTTTTTCTATATATAAAAAATTTTTTTTTTTTCAGTGCCAACATCAAATTTTGAATGGGTTGAATCCTTCACCCATCATCCGGGCATCTTTGGGTAGTGAACTAGAAATAAACTGGCAAATAGGCTATAAACCCTTCCTCGTTGTGAACTTGAGCAGCTTCTCAGAGATGTCTAGAAGGGGCAAGTCTGCCCTGCAATGTAGACACCGTCCTATGTATTTATGTATCATTTCTCCTGCACTTATTAAGGCCCCTCCTTCAGTTGTCCTTTATCAGATCCATTTTAGGTGTAAGAAAGAGTCTTGGTACTTAGAAAAAATAGGCACTCTTTGTTCTCCTCATGGAGAGAGAGAGTCAGATTCTGGATTTGGACGGAAACAAGTCCCTATTACTGTTTTCATTCTATGGTTGCCATTACTTATTGCCTTCTAAGTGCGACACGGTTTCTAGGAATGGTTGGCATTATAGTGGTTTTTATTAGCTCCGGTGAGAGTTGACGGAGCTCTCCAGAGTACAGGGAAGGGCAGTAGGGAGGCTGCCGGACATGATTGAATGTCAAGACTAACACAGAAGAAGCTGTACACCCCTGGCCCATAGAGGGCTTAGGGTTCAGTCCTTAAGGCACCGCCTCTGCACAGACTGCCTGCTGTCACTTCCTAGCTCTACACTGTCTGCCTTGAGACATTGAGCAAGTGAGTTAGGCTCTCTTTACCTCAGCTTCCAAGCTTGTAAAACAGGGACAGTGGTATCTGTTTCAGAAGATAGCCGGTCCACATGAACATGAAAGTACAGTCAACAAGGCCTGACAGGCACAAGAACTCCCCTCAGACTTACTCACTATCCCACGCACTCCAGAACCACATGTGCCTCCCAGGTTTGAAAAGCCCTGGTGAACTAGGAAAAGTGGTTCCGGCATGAAGATTTCCCCATGAGTGCTAGTCCCGGGTGCTTAGTTAGCTGGTGCCACTGTCCCAAAGAGCAGCTCTTGTGAACAGTGTAGCAAAGCGGTGTTTCGATGAACAGAAATGTTATTTTCTCACAGTTCAGGTGGCCAGAAGTTGGAATTCAGGATGCCAGCACCCCCACCCCCACCCGTTGCCATCAAGGTAATTCCAACTCACAGTGAGCCAATAGGACAGAATAGAAGATAAGTCTTTATGGAAGCTGAGTGCCACAGATGGACACGTGGGTCTGAACCTCCAACCTTTTGGCTAGCAGCCCAATGCTTAGCCTACTGCACCACCAGGGCTCCTGAGGAGTCTGAATTCGGGGCTTCCTCCCACTTGAAGACATTCAGGAAAAGCGCTCTCTCTCTCTCTCTCTCTCTCTCTCTCTCTCTCTCACACACACACACACACACACACAGAGAGAGCTCAGAGGAAGATCTTCATCTTGCAGTTGTGTCCCTCATTCCTTGGTTATCTTCATGTGGCCTGGCATCTGTCTCACTCCATCTGTGCCTCCACCTGTGCCTAAACCTGCCCCCGTTCGATCTCAGAGTGATTGGCATAGAGCAAACACATCCTGCGGTGTTACCATACCCAAACCCCTGCTCCCAAGTGGGAGGCCTCCCCAGAAACAGGAGTTGGGATTTGAGGGGACACCATCCACAACACCCTAGAGGGTTTTTCTTGGTGGCGCCAGTGACCAGCAGCCTGGCCCAGGAGGTAGCTTCCTTCAGAGGCAGCAGGGCTGGACCCTCCCTGCCCTCCACTCCCTCCTGGCAGGAGTACCCTCAGCCTCCTGAGGGGGAATTGCAGCTCTTTGGACAGACTCTGCTTTGGTGCATTTTTGTGGTTTCTTCCCTCTGACAGGCAGGAGTGTGGGAAAACCGGAAACAGCTCAGCACCAAAAATGCACAGAAGGGAGGAAAAAAGCAAAGATTTCTTCAGAATTTAAGAAATATAATCCAAGAATCAAAAGGCATGCTGTGAGACGTTGTTCCAGGAAAATAGTTTCCAATTTGCCTTTCAAACTCTTCTCGCACAAGTCTCTAAAGCTAAGTTAGCACTAATGGGGACCTAACCATTCTCTCCTCCCTGACATGGAACTGCGCAGTGCCGTGAGGCCCCCAGGGCTCGCACGTTCTTCTGGTCTCTGGTGAAGAGCGTGGCACGGCTGTCCGTCCGCCCTGACCCTCTCTTTAAAGAGCGTAGCGGTTTGTTTTCGCTTGCTTTCTTGTGTCTTAGCTGCCGTGATGAAAAGTTTCCTCTCAGAACCCAGAGAACTATGACCCTCGAATGTACCTTTCATTTTAGAGTTGCACAAAAGTCAGGCTGGTTGGGAGAACTCCTGTGTGCCCCTTCCCCTGCTTCCCCTCTCTTGGCATCTTCCACGACCACAGTACTTTTGAAAAAAATGTACTGTACTGAAAAACTTCCACTGATGCATAATTGTTACCTCAGCTCAGGACTTTATTTGGATTCTTCATCGGAAAGAACCTTCCATAACCCCTTACGCCAGGATCCTGAGCATAAGTTGATAAATTCTCACTGTGGTAACATAATTCATGTTCCTAGCCGGCGTAGCAAGTCACTTACCATCTCAGACCCAATTTGTAAAATAGAGTTCACCATAATACCTCAGTCACAGAGTCATTACAAGCAATGAATCCGAATGTCAAGCACAAATACAGTGCCTGGAATATAATAAGTGCTATATAAGGGTTAGGGATTACTACGGTTTATATTAAGATGACATTTCAAAAATAAC